GTAGTAACAAAAAGCTATTAGAAACAAGTGCCACGCTAGTAGTAACAGGTGCCTTACTAGTAGTAACAAAAAGCTATTAGAAACAAGTGCCACGCTAGTAGTAACAGGTGCCTTACTAGTAGTAACAAGATTGAAGGTTGACCCTTTCAACGGAGACCGCACAGTGTTCGCTGCAAAGGACCACTGTTTTCTGCCAGCGACGTGGAGCAATGCTTGGCTCAAGGCCATGGAAAGGGCTTCTAAATCCACCAACATAAAGTCACCTGAGATGATTTGATGGCTGGAGCAAAACAACTAGTTAGGGATTTCTCGCAGATCAAGGTAGCTGTCCCTTTCGCATTAAGTAAGGTTGGCAAACCCATTTTTAGATTCTGAAGAACGATCCCCGGCACGCCCCTATTCCAAGATTGGGGTGGTAGTACTCCAGTGCAGCACAATGGAAGAATCTCCGCATACATCTGTACGGCCCATGAATTGGCCCACGCTCCCAACTGATTAAACTGGCTGGTGAGGTGAAACCCAAGATCAGCGGCAACATCGATGGCAAACAAATAAGGGATTCACGGTGAAAGGAGCGGCAAAGGAATTGAATCAAGGGAGCCATAGGATCAGTCGGGACTCATCGGAAAGGAGGCTTGATGTTTGTCAGTACTAGGCATGGGCAAAAGAATGTTCGACACAGACCGCTGATAGGTGTGAATACTCAGTGAGACATAAGATGAGGCGCACACGGGCACGACAGGCAACAGTGTCACTCTAGAATCTTTAGAACACATTGGAGGGATTACTTTGGAACACAGGGTCAATTCTCCTTCAACCACCAGCCAGTCTAATGGGTGGGGTGGCAGGGAAAGAGGGCAGAAAGGAAGAAGGACAGGGTGGGAACGTGGCTGGGTCAAATGAGCAAAAACCAATTCACAGTTTTTCGTCACGTTCTAATGCGACCCCTTCAATCGCAACTCGCCTTCGGAAGCGACTCGCTCAACGTGGCGGCCGGTGCATCGTGAGAAAGAGCGGTTTGGAAAGAATGCAGCTTGAGGTTGGCGATGGTTGCGGGTGTGGGACAGCGTCGGTTCCTTGCCCTCAGGGCTGTGCCACAAGGATTATACAATTACAGTTTGTGAGTCCCACAGTGAGGGAAGTGAAGAATCCTTCGCACACTGTCAGGGCTGCGGCTTAGAACAGGATTTCAATCACCTGTAGCGATGCCCTTTGTTCCTAGTAGCGTCCTTGTTCCTAGTAGCGATGCCCTTTGTTGCTGCCCACCCGCTCTCCCGAAATATTCCTGGGTGCGAACATCCTTTCTCGTTCTCACATGGCAGTTGGGAAGCGAACCACGAGGCTGTAAGCAAAAGCACGATTTTTTTTCCGCCACCCAAGTGATGTCTTTTTTGTTTTATTTTGATCAAATGATTTCTGAAATGGTTTCTTGTTATGTAAAATCGACATATGATTGGTAATCATATCATATGCTTAATAAAGCTAAGCAAATCCCAAAACTGATTTATAAACACACTCTAAATCTTTAAAGCTAACTGTCTTTAGCCTTTCTTTCTCCTATAGTAAGGGAAATGCTACCAATACTAAACATTTATTAAGTCAGTTTGAGGCCCCCTATTTATTACAGAAAACGACGTTATGCGGGTGTGGTTTTTACGCGTTTTTGTGATTTGTGGTTTTCTGTGTTTTTTTGAAAATGTTAGTTGTTTTGAAGAACGTGTCTAGCAAAAATGTCGACTTGTAATCTATCAAATTTCTCATCAATCTGATTCAAACATACTAGTTCTCATTGATTCCCACACAGAAGTCCATCAACCATCATCTATCAGCAAGTCCACGACATCCCATCATACAACATCAGGTCATCACCTCTATGAGGGAGATCTGGTCTCCAAGACCTCCAATCTCAATCAGTCCTCAATCTCCAGCAACTCGCGCCTGGGCCTGGGCTTCTCTAGGGGGGGGGGGGGAAAAAAAAAAAGTGGTTGTCCAAAAATGGTTGTCCAAATCCGGGGGATTTTTTTTTTTTTTTGCCCCCCCCCCCCCCGGAGAAGCCCAGGCCCAGGCCCCACTTGCTGGAGATTGAGGACTCATTGTCAATTCCACGAGCTGGAAGTGGCCCAGGTGCTAGAGATAGTCAAGATGTTTGATTCCATTATAGCTACCTGTGTAAGAGTAGCAATTCCAATTCCACCACAACTTCTTATATTCCTCTCGTCTGTTTGAAGACACAACTGTCTGCTCCTGCAAGCACTTGTATATACTGTAGGCTCTATGTGGTGAGGGTGGATACCTATACTGTATGGTCTCAATGATGGAGTGTGGAAGATTGTCTTGATTTGATGGCTTAAGATATCCAATGAAAGAGAGAGATGGGCATATAGCTAGAGAGCATAGGAAAATGGAACTTCCAATGTGGATGAGATGAGATGAGATGAGATGAGATGAGATGAAGCATTGGGTGCATCAAACAGCTGGCATTGGGCTTGTGGCTGTATGCGTGCAATTCCATTTGAGACCAAAGGCGGTTGCGTAGATGCAACACCTGGGCACGAGAGATTGGGATCTTGACTTTGAGTAAATTGTTTTGCCATACAAGCCATTGAGCAAATGCTCTAGACAGCAGCACAATATGGATGGTGCTTCGATTGGGTTTGATTGTCCTCCAAGAACACATGGGCACCATGTGAGAGGGAAACTTGCTGGGCAATCAATGATGGGGATGGGGTCCATGGAATGCCTGGTGCAAATGGGTTTGTGCATGATTAGGTGGCCCAATGGAAGATCAGAACCATTTGGGTACAACATTGGTTGCTTGTCATGATTCACGCTATTGGTAGGGCAATTTTTTTGCACAATCTATTGGTTTACTTTTGGGTGGGTGTTGGTGAGGTCCAATGAGGTTTCATCGCGAGAATGTGGTTGGCAATGTTGGGTGAATATTGGGAGCATGCTGAGCATGCCAGGTTTGGTACAACCTGACTTCATGTATGTCTATGTGTGGGCAAGAAGGTTAGGGTGAAGAGAAGGTAGCCTTGGGAATGAGTAGTGGCCACACAGCCAATTCAGACCCTCAGTGTATCTAAGGCTGGATCATTCCATGGGCTTCATAAGATTCTTTGGAAGATTTCGTCATAGATGGGGGGATATGGAGATAGATCTGAAGAGCCATTGGGTGAGAGCAGTGGAGATGAGCAGGATTGGTCCAATCGAACTTGTGGGATAGGATGTGAGCTCCCAAGTGACCCTGAGAATGAGGATGAGGCTTATTATGGGTATGGACGTCAAGAAGGCCATGCAAAACCCAATTCCAATCAGTCATCCAGGTCCAGTACTACTAAGCAAGTTTCTCAACTTTTGTTGGGCGTGGTGGGCACATTGTGTTTCAAGATAATGATCTTCTCTCCATTTCATAAAGAATGTGGAGGGAGAAGCCCATTTCATAAAGAATGTGGAGGGAGAAGCCCAAAAAGTGCTACCTTTGAAACAATGAGAATGCTTATGGGCAAGGAAGGGTAGAGTTGGATCCAGGGGTTTTTTAAGCAAGAAAAGTTGGCTTTGTTTAGGAAACAGGAGCACAAGAACATATCTAGACTATAACCATGGAAACTCTGATTAAACATGACAAAATCTAAGAAAAACACCACAAAAGCACGTAAAAACCACACCCGCATAACGTCGAGCTCTCATTTATTAATCAGATGTGGACATCATATATACAGTGCATATATGTTTCCTCGTGCAAGTTTGGTGTTGACTTGTCGTTGACTTGGCAAGTTCTGCCACCCTTGTGATAAGAAAAACAGCAATCGAAGCTATTAAGTCAACGACAAGTCAACACCAAACTTGCATGAGACCCCTGGCTACCTACAAGTACGCTCCTACCCAGGAACCAGAATAGCTCACGCACTAATGATTTGGTTCCTAGATTTTTTGGTTAACACTTGATGGAATAAATAGGTTTTCTTGAGCCTGGTGACATGCTCTGTTTTTGACTGGAGAATTTGTGAGCACATAGTTTCTTCGGTTCCTTTATGTTTCTCTACTTAAGCATCGTAACAAGAAGCTACTAGCAACAAGTGCATGGCTACTAGGAACAAGTGTCTTACTAGTAGTAACAAGAAGCTACTAGTAACAAGTGCATCGCTACTAGTAACAAGGGCATTACTACTAGTAACAAGAAACTACGCCAATGGAAGCGTCCAAGAAGTGAAACAACGGAACGATCGAGTTGGCGATGCTCGATTGTCGCCGCACCGGGACGTGTTCCGATTTCAGATCCCCTGGTTCAGACGAAATTCTGGTTTGCCAGAGAATCATATCCCAAAGAGACCAAGTAAGGCAGAATCAGCAACGCAAAAATCACTAAGTCACAGCATGCACTACAACAAACGTGCTGTCTCCAACAAAGAGAAAATGGGACGATAAAACTGAAGTAAGCTGGAGCGGCTCATCTCGGAGCTCGAGCCATCCACATCCTTCACGTCCTTCACTGGGACGAGGAAATACTTCGCCCAGGCGCAGCCCCCCGTGTGGCTCCACACGCTGCCCTGTCGCACCTGACCTTGACGCTTGCAGCCGCGGACATGCAGCGCGTGGACACTACCTGCAGCTGAAACGACCCAGGTGGGAGAGATGGAAACAGGATTAGTTGGTCGACTGTAGAAAGCAAGGAGAGGAACAAGAAGCTACTAGTAGCAAGAAGCGACTACCGTAGATGGACGAAATATTCAAACCCTTTCAACCACGTGGACCCCTTCTACCCCAAAGCTCAATGTTAGAGGTCTTGCAAGCATGTTTCGGCGAATGGACGAAACAAATCAACCCTGGAAACACAAATTCAATCAAGTTATGTTACAAGTTACGTTCAACATTGACCTTTGGGGGTCTGGGGTTGGCGACAGTTCTTGATACATGGGTTTGAATATTTGGTCCATCTACTGTCTAAAGGCGTGACGTTTGCGTATTTTTGCCTCGTAAGTATCAAGTCTAACATCTTCATCCGTAGTACTCTGTGTTTTCATCTTTGTGCTCAACAACTCTTTCACGTCGACACGTTGCGAGCGAGGACAGCAGACGTCAGGAAAGCAAGCCAGATGAAGAGCAGTTCCAGCTACTGTTCTTACTCTTGCCATGTGCCGTGTCTGTTCCCAGTGCCTTTCCAATGCCTTTTCAGTGCCTTTTCCAGTGCCTTTTCACGGTTTGCGTGTGCCCGCCAGTGATTTTGCCATGTGACTCACTTTTTTGCTCAAAAGATAGCTGATCTTTTTGTTTCAACAAAACTTAACCAGAAACACATTTTTGCTTGCAGGGCCACAAGAAAGTGCAAAAGGCGCTAAAGCGCAAAAGGCACTGGAAAAGGCACTGGAAAGGGACTGGGAACAGACACGGCACATGGCAACAGTAAGAACAGTAGCTGGAACTGCCCGGCATCACTTGATAACAACACACGCATGTGCGTCTGTAGGTCTCCGGTCGCCGTCCACACCCAGTACCGTAGATGGACGAAATATTCAAACCCTTTCAACCACGTGGACCCCTTCTACCCCAAAGCTCAATGTTAGAGGTCTTGCAAGCATGTTTCGGCGAATGGACGAAACAAATCAACCCTGGAAACACAAATTCAATCAAGTTATGTTACAAGTTACGTTCCAACATTGACCTTTGGGGGTCTGGGGTTGGCGACAGTTATTGATACATGGGTTTGAATATTTGGTCCACCTACTGTCTAAAGGTGTGACGTTTGCGTATTTTTGCCTCGTAAGTATCAAGTCTAACATCTTCACCCGTAGTACTCTGTGTTTTCATCTTTGTGCTCAACAACACTTTCACATCGACACGTTGCGAGCGAGGACAGCAGACGTCAGGAAAGCAAGCCAGATGAAGAGCAGTTCCAGCTACTGTTCTTACTGTTGCCATGCGCCGTGTCTGTTCCCAGTGCCTTTCCAATGCCTTTTCAGTGCCTTTTCCTGTGCCTTTTCACGGTTTGTGTGCGCCCGCCAGTGATTTTGCCATGTGATTCACTTTTTTGCTAAAAAGAGATAGCTTATCTTTTTGTTTCAGCAAAACTTAACCAGAAACACATTTTTGCTCGCAGGGCCGCGAGTAAGCGCAAAAGGCACTGGAAAAGGCACTGGAAAGGGACTGGGAACAGACACGGCACATGGCAACAGTAAGAACAGTAGCTGGAACTGCCCGGCATCACTTGATAACAACACACGCATGTGCGTCTGTAGGTCTCCGGTCGCCGTCCACACCCAGTACCGTAGATGGACGAAATATTCAAACCCTTGCAACCACGTGGACCCCTTCTACCACAATGCTCAATGTTAGAGGTCTTGCAAGCATGTTTCGGCGAATGGACGAAACAAATCAAACCCTGGAAACATTGACCTTTGGGGGTCTGGGGTTGGCGACAGTTATTGATACATGGGTTTGAATATTTGGTCCGTCTACTGTCTGAAGGTGTGACGTTTGCATATTTTTGCCTCGTAAGTATCAAGTCTAACATCTTCACCCGTAGTACTCTGTGTTTCCATCTTTTGTGCTCAACAACTCTTTCACATCGACACGTTGCGAGCGAGGACAGCAGACGTCAGGAAAGCAAGCCAGATGAAGAGCAGTTCCAGCAGCTGTTCTTATTGTTGCCATGCGCCGTGTCTGTTCCCAGTCCCTTTCCAATGCCTTTTCAGTGCCTTTTCCTGTGCCTTTTCACGGTTTGTGTGCGCCCGCCAGTGATTTTGCCATGTGACTCACTTTTTTGCTCAAAAGATAGCTGATCTTTTTGTTTCAACAAAACTTAACCAGAAACACATTTTTGCTGGCAGGGCCACGAGAAAGTGCAAAAGGCACTGGAAAAGGCACTGGCAAGGCACTGGAAAGGGACTGGGAACAGACACGGCACATGGCAACAGTGAGAACAGTATTTGGAACTGCCCGGCATCACTTGATAACAACACACGCATGTGTGTCTGTAGGTCTCCGGTCGCCGTCCACACCCAGTACCGTAGATGGACGAAATATTCAAACCCTTTCAACCACGTGGACCCCTTCTACCACAATGCTCAATGTTAGAGGTCTTGCAAGCATGTTTCGGCGAATGGACGAAACAAATCAAACCCTGGAAACACAAATTCAATCAAGTTATGTTACAAGTTACGTTCAACATTGACCTTTGGGGGTCTGGGGTTGGCGACAGTTATTGATACATGGGATTGAACATTTGGTCCATCTACTGTCTAAAGGTGTGACGTTTGCGTATTTTTGCCTCGTAAGTGTCAAGTCTAACATCTTCGCCCGTAGTACTCTGTGTTTTCATCTTTTGTGCTCAACAACTCTTTCACATCGACACGCTGCGAGCGAGGACAGCAGACGTCAGGAAAGCAAGCCAGATGAAGAGCAGTTCCAGCTACTGTTCTTACTGTTGCCCTGTGCCGTGTCTGTTCCAAGTGCCTTTCCAACGCCTTTTCACTGCCTTTTCCTGTGCCTTTTCACGGTTTGTGTGCGCCCGCCAGTGATTTTGCCATGTGACTCACTTTTTTGCGAAAAAGAGATCGCTGATCTTTTTGTTTCAACAAAACTTAACCAGAAACACATTTTTGCTGGCAGGGCCACGAGAAAGTGCAAAAGGCACTGGAAAAGGC